TGCCCTACCAGGTCTCCCACACCCACCTCCCCACCAATTTGGATCGCTTGTTGTTCCGTGTCTCCTTTTTCTTAGGTTACACGAGAATGGCCTTCACAAGAATGAGAATGTGTGTTGTCACCTCAACTAGAGTCAGAACAGAGCTCTTCTGCAGTCAGGTCCCATTCTCTTTTGAACCTTGTTTTGACCCTATTAGCTTATTGAGTACCCTTAACACTTTTTGGGTGGTTGTCAGAAAGAAAATTCAGCGCCTACCTTTATCCAAGCTAAAACCAAAACTGTTGCCACGGAATTGAGATTTCAACACATAGCAACCCTGTAGAAGTGCCCTACAGGGTTCCCAGGCCCTGATCTTTATGGAAACAGATCACCACATCTTTCTCCTGCAGGGCTACTAGTGGGTTTGAACTGCTAACCTTTCAGTTAGCAGCTAAGTACTTAACCACAACGTCTTACAGGCTGTCAGATGGCTCTACCCAGGGGAGAGAACGTCCGCTACTGCCTAATCTTTGGCTCACAGGACCCACCCACGGAGACTCACTTCCCTTCTCTAGCTGGGCCTTGACAAGGTGTGGGGATGGGCTGAGTGGAACCAAGATGTTGTGTTTTCTCTCCAGCCTGGAGACATAGTAGATCTGTTTATGGACCTATGCAAAAATACATGTGACTGTTACAGCTACTGAGGAAGCACTTAGAAATGATTGATTAGCACCACATCTTCCTTCTATTGGGTGATTAGGTCCCACGGATTATCTTATGGCTCATGGTGGAGTTGGCTATCATCGGCTCAGACATGCAGGAAGTCATCGGCTCAGCCATTGCCATCAATCTTCTATCTGTGGGAAGGTACGAGTTTTTTGTTTTTAAGAAAACTAATAAATTATTTCGTTAGATTTCTAACACATTTTCAGTTTTCAAGATTCAGCCCAAGTATCAGTTTCTTCCATGGAAGCCTCCTGGGACCACCTTTTTCTCCCCCAGCAGATTTGGGCTCTAAATCCCCCATGTTCCCATGATGGCATGTATATATCAATTTCAGACTGGGTGGCATTTTGTATTATGTTTATTTGTCTGTCTGTCAGATTATCCCACTAGAAAACTCCTTGAGCGAAAGACCCATCCTTGTCATCTGAATCCTAAATGTCTGCAATTCTAAACGTTCCCTCTCAGACAAGTCCGAGTTTCCCCTAGTGCTCTGTACCTGGGAGCCAGGTGGGAAGAGCCCATCTCCCATTGGTTTCTTTCTTTCCCTTAACTTCCATTTATCTCTGACCTAGGGTTCCTCTGTGGGGCGGAGTTCTGATCACCATTGCAGATACTTTCGTATTTCTCTTTTTGGACAAATATGGTAAGGAGAAGGGGACAAAGGGCGAGTCAAAGGCACCACCTTCCAATGGCGTGGCTGACGGGGTGGGCGTCTGCCTCTGGGGGTGCACCTCCGGGAGCTCATGGTGGCTTTTCCCCCCTGTAGGCTTGCGGAAGCTGGAAGCGTTTTTCGGCTTTCTCATCACTATTATGGCCCTCACCTTTGGATATGAGGCAAGTATTATTGGTGATTCTCTCTTTCAAGTAATTAAAACAAAACAAAACAGTGCACGACAATTGTAGGGTGGTTTAATTGAATCATATGGTTGACAGTAAACCAGATCAGCCAGACCCAGTTCTCAAGAGCATGGTCTGTCACCATGGGTCTTTGTGGGTGAAGAATGACTAGGTGT